TACTGGTGTGTGTGTGTGTGTAATGGTATGTGTGTACTGGTGTGTGTGTACTGGTGTGTGTGTGTACTGGTGTGTGTCTGTGTGTAATGCTGTGTGTGTGTACTGCTGTGTGTGTGTAATGCTCTGTAATTCCGTGTGAAAAGCCAATTGGGAGCTGCTTCACCCACCACATACGTCGTTGTGAAGAGACAGAGGCGCACTGAGATGCGAGACGGAGAGAGATGCGGACGAGGCAGGAGTGCGTTGAGAGCGATGTTGGCACGAGGTGGGGATGCCATCAGACGAGAGGACACGAGCTAGAGACGAGACATTCATTCGCTCTCGATGCTAATTTGCTCGCATGTATGTACGTATTTGGAACCTTTTTTCGCACCGTACGTAGCAAACCGTGCTAATCCGATGTGTTGGTGAAGGACAGCAAACTAAACGCAGAAGATCTGAACGCGAGATGATTATTGGATCGTGCCGATATTTTTTGTTCCGTGAATTCTGGGGTCCTCACCAGCTGCTTGGGTGTGGGGTGTGTGGGGGTATGGGGTGTATGGTATGGGGGGTATGGAGGCGGGGGGTAGGGAGTATAGGGAGCATGGGGGTCGGGGTATGGGGGAGGGTGGGGTGGCGCGTGTGAGACACGTGCTGACCTCTCGCAGCGACGGGCGCCTGGGTTCTATTCCCGGGTCGTGCTCCTCTCTGTTGTGTGGAGCTTTGTACGTTTCTATCGCTCCTCCCCCTGTTCTGCATGGCTTTCCTCGGGGTTCTCCGGGTTCCTCCTACCACAGCGAAAGCAAAACCCTACAGCGTCACTGGTATTGGCCAAGTGTTCAAGTCGGTTCTGTGTAGCCACGTGGTGTGAACTCCATAGACCAGGATAGAAGAGTCTCATTTGCAAAAGCGGCCTGGATCTCAAACATTGCAAAATCAAAACAAATCACAGTACAGCAATGAAGCAAAGCAATCTGAACAACATCAACAACAACATCAACAAGAACATCTCTAATGCTGAAAAATGACGCCGCAAATTACTCGATTTGGATCACGTTCAGCAGCAGCAGCATCGCCCTTCCTCTGAAACAATCGCACGCTACTTCTGCGCCACACAGCGGCGCCTTCCGTCACGATCATTATTTTAGTTGTCTTTAGTTTTTTGTCCTTTCCCCGCACCTTGCATCTCTAGCTCACTGGGTCACGTGTCCTTGCATCTCTATCTCACTGGGTCACGTGTCCTTGCATCTCGAGCTCACTGGGTCACGTGTCCTTGCATCTCTATCTCACTGGCTCACGTGTCCTTGCATCTCGAGCTCACTGGATCACGTGTCCTTGCATCTCGAGCTCGCTGGGTCACGTGACCTTGCATCTCTAGCTCACTGGGTCACGTGTCCTTGCATCTCGAGCTCACTGGGTCACGTGTCCTTGCATCTCGAGCTCACTGGGTCACGTGTCCTTGCATCTCGAGCTCACTGGATCACGTGTCCTTGCATCTCGAGCTCATTTGGATCACGTGTCCTTGCATCTCTAGCTCACTGGGTCACGTGTCCATTCATCTCTAGCTCACTGGGTCACGTGTCCTTGCATCTCTACCTCACTGGGTCACGTGTCCTTGCATCTCGAGCTCACTGGGTCATGTGTCCTTGCATCTCTATCTCACTGGGTCACGTGTCGTTGCATCTCTAGCTCACTGGGTCACGTGTTTTTGCATTTCTAGCTCAATGGGTCACGTGTCCTTGCATCTCTAGCTCACTGTATCACGTGTCCTTGCATCTCGAGCTCACTGGATCACGTGTCCTTGCATCTCTAGCTCACTGGGTCACGCGTTCTTGCATCTCGAGCTCACTGGGTCACGTGTCCTTGCATCTCGAGCTCACTGGATCACGTGTCCTTGCATCTCTATCTCACTGGGTCACGTGTCCTTGCATCTCTATCTCACTGGGTCACGTGTCCATTCATCTCTAGCTCACTGGATCACGTGTCCTTGTATCTCTAAATCACTGGATCACGTGTCTTTGCATCTCTAGCTCACTGTATCACGTGTCCATTAATCTCTATCTGACTGGGTCACGTGTCCTTGTATCTCTAACTCACTGGATCACGTGTTCTTGCATCTCTAGCTCACTGGATCACGTGTCCTTGCAACTCGAGCTCACTGGATCACGTGTCCTTGCATCTCGAGCTCACTGGATCACGTGTCCTTGCATCTCTAGCTCACTGGATCACGTGTCCTTGCATCTCTAGCTCACTGGGTCACGTGTCCATTCATCTCTAGCTCACTGGGTCACGTGTCGTTGCATCTGTAGCTCACTGGTTCACGTGTTTTTGCATTTCTAGCTCAATGGGTCACGTGTCCTTGCATCTCGAGCTCACTGGATCACGTGTCCTTGCATCTCGAGCTCACTGGATCACGTGACTTTGCATCTCGAGCTCACTGGATCACGTGTCCTTGCATCTCGAGCTCACTGGATCACGTGTCCTTACATCTCTAGCTCATTGGATCACGTGTCCTTGCATCTCTATCTCACTGGGTCACGTGTCCATTCATCTCTAGCTCACTCAGTCACGTGTCCTTGCATCTCTAGCTCACTGGATCACGTTTCCATTCATCTCTATCTCACTGGGTCACGTGTCCATTCATCTCTAGCTCACTGGGTCACGTGTCGTTGCATCTGTAGCTCACTGGGTCACGTGTTTTTGCATTTCTAGCTCAATGGGTCACGTGTCCTTGCATCTCGAGCTCACTGGATCACGTGTCCTTGCATCTCGAGCTCACTGGATCACGTGACTTTGCATCTCGAGCTCACTGGATCACGTGTCCTTGCATCTCGAGCTCACTGGATCACGTGTCCTTACATCTCTAGCTCACTGGATCGCGTGTCCTTGCATCTCTATCTCACTGGGTCACGTGTCCATTCATCTCTAGCTCACTCAGTCACGTGTCCTTGCATCTCTAGCTCACTGGATCACGTGTCCATTCATCTCTAGCTCACGGGTCACGTGTCCTTGCATCTCTAGCTCACTGGATCACGTGTCCTTGCATCTCTCTCTCACTAGATCACGTGTCCTTGCATCTCTAGCTCACTGGATCACGTGTCCTTGCATCTCTCTCTCACTAGATCACGTGTCCTTGCATCTCTAGCTCACTGGGTCACGTGGCCTTGCATCTCGAGCTCACTGGATCACGTGTCCTTGCATCTCTAGCTCACTGGATCACGTGTCCTTGCATCTCTTGCTCACTAGAATACGTGTCCTTGCATCTCGAGCTCACTGGGTCACGTGGCCTTGCATCTCTATCAGACTGGGTCACGTCTCCATTCATTTCTAGCTCACTGCATCACGTGTCCTTGCATCTCTAGCTCACTGGGTCACGTGGCCTTGCATCTCGAGCTCACTGGATCACGTGTCCTTGCATCTCTAGCTCACTAGGTCACGTGGCCTTGCATCTCTATTTGACTGGGTCACGTGTCCATTCATTTCTAGCTCACTGGATCACGTGTCCTTGCATCTCTTGCTAACTGGATCACGTGTCCTTGTATCTCTAACTCACTAGATCACGTGTCTTTGCATCTCTAGCTCACTGGATCACGTGTCCTTGCATCTCTAGCTCACTGGGTCACGTGTCCTTGCATCTCTAGCTCACTGGATCACGTGTCCTTGCATCTCTAGCTCACTGGGTCACGTGTCGTTGCATCTGTAGCTCACTGGGTCACGTTTTTTTGCATCTCTAGCTCACTGGGTCATGTGGCCTTGCATCTCGAGCTCACTGGATCACGTGTCCTTGTATCTCGAGCTCACTGGATCACGTGACTTTGCATCTCGAGCTCACTGGATCACGTGTCCTTGCATCTCGAGCTCACTGGATCACGTGTCCTTGCATCTCTAGCTCACTGGATCACGTGTCCTTGCATCTCTAGCTCACTGGATCCGCGTTAAGTTTGTCGAGCAGCTGGGCAGCAGCAGAGGCAGTTTCCTTCAGAAACACAAAGAGTGACGCGCGCTGCCGTGGTGACGGCCCTGGCTGATTCGGGGGAAATGTCCCAGGAACTGTAGACGATGCAACAGCTGTGATGATAATCGAGGACTTCGCGTCGTCGCCGTGTGAGCAGAGATAACAGCACGTGTGTATGTGAGGAGAGGTGAAGTAGGTACGTATGTTGAGCCTATTTGCACCGTACGTAGCTAACCGTGCTAATCGGAGGTGCGGGGTTAGCCAGCTGCGCTACGAACCCGGCGACCAGAGTTCGATTACCGCTCACGATCAATAACAATGGTGAATGTGAACCAGTCCTGGACCTCGGCTAGGTTGACTCGGCCTCAAATGAGTGTGAACATCGCCACTGGGGAGACAAAAGCGGCCGGGCGTGGTGCTGGCCACCCATCCCCTCGTGTACCGCCTTCATAGGTGCTCGCTAACAGCACTTGCCCCAACAGTCTGTTAAGGCCACACGGGGGATCTTTGTCTTCGTGTATGCGTAGGCCATTGTGTCCTGAGCTAACAGCGTGTGTGTTCACGTGGCTATGTTTATGTTCGTCTTCCAGCGCATTCACCTGCCAGAGTGTTCACCTGTCAAAGAGCGTGCTCACCTGCATAACAGGATGTCCACTTGCCTAGCGGTGCGCTCACGAGCAGCTGCCCTGATGGTCACTCGCTGTGGTGTTGACCATAACACGACTACTGCATGCCGTCTGCTTCACTCGCAGTGGACGTTAAAGATCCCGTCACGTTATTCGAAAGAGTTCGCCCTCGTGTGCCGGCGGGCAATTGGGGTGACGCAGAACAGCAGCAGCAGCAGCAGCCGCAACCATCGCCCTCTACTGGCAGCAGACGACGTGCCCCAGGTCTCCACTGGAAATGAGGCTCATCCTCGCCTCTTCGGGTCTCGCATCGTTCAACGAATACACCTGGACCCGTGCGTGCGTTCTTACGCGTGCCCGTGCGTGCCCGTGCGTGCCCGTGCGACCCCGTGCGACCCCGTGCGACCCCGCGTGTGCGTGCACCCCCCCCCCCCCAGACACCCCGGCCCAGCGCGTGCAGTTCATCCTGGGCACGGAAGATGACGATGAGGAGCACATCCCGCACGACCTCTTCACCGAGATGGACGAGCTGTGCATGCGCGAGGGCGAGGGCGGGGAGTGGAAGGAGAAGGCCAGGTGGGGCATCGGCGGCATCGTCAGCATCAGCACTTTAACCTTCACTCTGGCTATTGTCATCGTCATCGGTACCACCATCACCGCCACCATCACCAACATCGGCAACAGCACCGGTGGCATCGTTGTCGCCCCCTTTAGCGTCGCCACAAGCGCCATGGAACATGTACAGAGGGAACAGGCGGAGCGCACGTTTCCCCTTCCACATTCTCCTGGCGAGTCGGGGGTATGGCCGCCCAGTTCGACGTCCCCGGGAAGGGAGACTCACAACGCGTGTGCGCTGATCCACCAACGCTCGACCGAGCGCTGGATTACAGGCCACGTGCGTAGGCCCCACGGGTGGCGGTGGTGGTAGTGGTGGCAGTGGTGGTCGTGGTGGCAGTGGTGGTGGTGGCAGTGGTGGTGGTGGTAGTGGTGGTGGTAGTGGTGGTGGTGGTAGTGGTGTTGGTAGTGGTGTTGGTAGTGGTGGTGGTAGTGGTGGTGGTAGTGGTTTCAGTGGTGGCGGTGGTGGTGGTAGTGGTGGTGGTAGTGGTGGTGGTAGTGGTGGTGGTAGTGGTGGTGGTAGTGGTGGTGGTAGTGGTGTTGGTAGTGGTGGTGGTGGTGGCGGTGGTGGTGGTGGCGGTGGTGGTAGTGGTGGTGGTAGTGGTGGTGGTGGTAGTGTTAGTGGTGGTAGTGTTAGTGGTGGTAGTGGTGGTGGTGGCGGTGGTGGCTACGCGCGCCACCGTAGTGAGACGTTAACTACCTCGCCTGCTATACAGGAGGTCGTGGGTTCGATGTGGACCCACCGTGGTCGCGTGGATTTTTCTCCGGGTCCTCCGGTTTTATGCCTCCACATTTAGAATGAAGGTCACGCGTCGTTTGGAGTGATTGGCCGCTATAAATGTCCACGTGACGATAAGCCGCTTCGTTGAGCTCCCATTTGTGGCAGCCAGGTCGCTTCTGAAAAAGAGCCTCACAGCTCGGTGGGCTCTAGCCTGGTGAAAGAAGAGAAACTGTTCAGTTTATATTCATTTGTTTTCAGGCAATTACTGAGTGCTACTAACGTCTGGGAGGAAACCGCAGCACCCAGAGAAACTGACCTGTGCGACGAGCAGCGCCATCCCACACAGACAGCGTGCTGTAGGCGGAGGCCACGTTTTTACCGAACCGCCTTCTCCCGGCGGGCCGGGGTATACGGGCTCCTCTTCGGCGCCCACGGCGAAGGGAGTTTCACAACATTCGTGTGGCGGGCCACTAACCCTCGCCGCTGCCTCGCTGCTGGATCACAGGCGTGCGCCGCCACCCGTAATCCAGCAAGGGAAATACAGTTTGAAAAAAAGCTTTTTAGTTTGAAGGAGGTGACCGGTCGGTGCCACGCGCAGGTGGCTGAAGTTCGAGGAGGACGTGGAGGACGGCGGCGAGCGCTGGAGCAAGCCGTACGTGGCGACGCTGTCGCTGCACAGCCTCTTCGAGCTGCGCAGCTGCATCATCAACGGCACCGTGATGCTCGACATGCACGCCACCTCCATCGAGGAGATCGCAGGTGCAAGCGGCGGCGCGCACGGGTCGAGTGGAGCCCAGTCGGGTCGGGTCGGGTCGGGTCGTCCGTGACAAAATTGAACCTCGATTCTTACGCTCCCCTCCACGCACTCTCCTACCTCTCCCTCTCATCTCAATCTACTCCCATCCACGCACTCGCAGAATACAGTCAAACCATGTTGAATAGATTAACGCTGGTAGTCTACGTTGGTTCAACCCATCATCATCGTCATCATCATCCCTCCCTCTGGGCTTGGTAAAAAGAACACCGCTTTATGGGGAAGTCAACAATGGTTTTCTCTTTGCCCAGACTCGTCCCTGCCATAGGAATGTGGAATTTCCACCACTGGCTCTGCGGGGTTATCAACAAGAGATGTGTCCCAATGCTCGCGTGAGCGGCAGGAGACCGCGTGAACTTGGCTGGGAACGTCACAGCCAGAAGCTGCTGCTGCTGCTGCATTGTCCAACGCCTTGTTGATGTACCTGCGAGTTTACATGAACTGGGAGCGGAGTCTCTCTTTCTCCATCTTTCTATCTCTCTCTCTCTCTCAAATGTTAGCTCACCTGCGCGAGCGCGCATGCGTGCACAATCGCGCAAAAAACAAACACAACAGCACGCGGCCGCACTGCTTTTTGTTACCTTTCCTATAACGCACGCACAGACACACATACAGACACTACACACATACAGACACTACGCACAGACACACATACAGACACTATGCACAGACAGACACTACGCACAGACACACATACAGACACTACGCACAGACACACATACAGACACTACGCACAGACACACATACAGACACTACGCACAGACACACATACAGACACTACGCACAGACACACATACAGACACTACGCACAGACACACATACAGACACTACACACATACAGACACTACACACATACAGACACTACACACATACAGACACTACACACATACAGACACTACGCACATACAGACACTACGCACATACAGACACTACGCACATACAGACACTACGCACATACAGACACTACACACATACAGACACTACGCACATACAGACACTACGCACATACAGACACTACGCACATACAGACACTACGCACATACAGACACTACGCACATACAGACACTACACACATACAGACACTACACACATACAGACACTACGCACATACAGACACTACGCACATACAGACACTACGCACAGACGCACATACAGACACTACACACATACAGACACTACGCACATACAGACACTACGCACATACAGACACTACGCACATACAGACACTACGCACAGACGCACATACAGACACTACACACATACAGACACTACGCACATACAGACACTACGCACATACAGACACTACGCACAGACGCACATACAGACACTACGCACATACAGACACTACGCACATACAGACACTACGCACATACAGACACTACGCACAGACGCACATACAGACACTACGCACATACAGACACTACGCACATACAGACACTACGCACATACAGACACTACGCACATACAGACACTACGCACATACAGACACTACGCACAGACGCACATACAGACACTACGCACATACAGACACTACGCACATACAGACACTATGCACATACAGACACTACACACATACAGACACTACGCACATACAGACACTACGCACAGACGCACATACAGACACTACACACATACAGACACTACGCACATACAGACACTACGCACGTACAGACACTACGCACATACAGACACTATGCACATACAGACACTACGCACATACAGACACTACGCACATACAGACACTACGCACAGACGCTCATACAGACACTACGCACAGACACACATACAGACACTACACACATACAGACACTACGCACATACAGACACTACGCACAGACAGACACTACGCACATGCAGACACTACGCACATACAGACACTACGCACATACAGACACTACGCACAGACAGACACTACGCACATACAGACACTACACACATACAGACACTACGCACATACAGACACTACGCACATACAGACACTACGCACATACAGACACTACGCACATACAGACACTACACACATACAGACACTACACACATACAGACACTACGCACATACAGACACTACGCACATACAGACACTACACACATACAGACACTACACACATACAGACACTACAAACATACAGACACTATACACATACAGACACTACACACATACAGACACTACGCACATACAGACACTACACACATACAGACACTACGCACATACAGACACTACGCACATACAGACACTACACACAGACACTACATACAGACACTACACACATACAGACACTACACACATACAGACACTACACACATACAGACACTACACACATACAGACACTACACACAGACACTACATACAGACACTACACACATACAGACACTACGCACATACAGACACTACGCACATACAGACACTACAGACATACAGACACTACACACATACAGACACTACACACATACAGACACTACATACAGACACTACACACACACAGACACTACATAAATACAGACCCTACACACATAAAGACACTACATACAGACACTACACACATACAGACACTACACACATACAGACACTACACACATACAGACACTACACACATACAGACACTACACACATACAGAGACTACATACAGACACTACACACACACAGACACTACATAAATACAGACCCTACACACATACAGACACTACACACATACAGACACTACATACAGACACTACACACATACAGACACTACACACATACAGACACTACACACATACAGACACTACGCACATACAGACACTACACACATACAGACACTACACACATACAGACACTACGCACATACAGACACTACGCACATACAGACACTACGCACAGACACACATACAGACACTACACACATACAGACACTACACACATACAGACACTATATACAGACACTACACACATACAGACACTACGCACAGACACACATACAGACACTACACACATACAGACACTACACACATACAGACACTACACACATACAGACACTACACACATACAGACACTACACACATACAGACACTACGCACATACAGACACTACACACATACAGACACTACACACATACAGACACTACACACATACAGACACTACACACATACAGACACTACGCACATACAGACACTACACACATACAGACACTACGCACATACAGACACTACACACATACAGACACTACATACATACAGACACTACACACATACAGACACTACACACATACAGACACTACACACATACAGACACTACACACATACAGACACTATACACATACAGACACTACACACATACAGACACTACGCACATACAGACACTACACACATACAGACACTACGCACATACAGACACTACGCACATACAGACACTACACACAGACACTACATACAGACACTACACACATACAGACACTACACACATACAGACACTACACACATACAGACACTACACACATACAGACACTACACACAGACACTACATACAGACACTACACACATACAGACACTACACACATACAGACACTACGCACATACAGACACTACGCACATACAGACACTACACACATACAGACACTACACACATACAGACACTACACACATACAGACACTACATACAGACACTACACACACACAGACACTACATAAATACAGACCCTACACACATACAGACACTACACACATACAGACACTACATACAGACACTACACACATACAGACACTACACACATACAGACACTACACACATACAGACACTACACACATACAGACACTACATACAGACACTACACACACACAGACACTACATAAATACAGACCCTACACACATACAGACACTACACACATACAGACACTACATACAGACACTACACACATACAGACACTACACACATACAGACACTACACACATACAGACACTACACACATACAGACACTACACACATACAGACACTACACACATACAGACACTACACACATACAGACACTACATACAGACACTACACACACACAGACACTACATAAATACAGACCCTACACACATACAGACACTACACACATACAGACACTACATACAGACACTACACACATACAGACACTACACACATACAGACACTACACACATACAGACACTACGCACATACAGACACTACACACATACAGACACTACACACATACAGACACTACGCACATACAGACACTACGCACATACAGACACTACGCACAGACACACATACAGACACTACACACATACAGACACTACACACATACAGACACTATATACAGACACTACACACATACAGACACTACGCACAGACACACATACAGACACTACACACATACAGACACTACACACATACAGACACTACACACATACAGACACTACACACATACAGACACTACACACATACAGACACTATACACATACAGACACTACGCACATACAGACACTACACACATACAGACACTACACACATACAGACACTACGCACATACAGACACTACACACATACAGACACTACGCACATACAGACACTACGCACATACAGACACTACAGACATACAGACACTACACACATACAGACACTACACACATACAGACACTACCTACAGACACTACACACACACAGACACTACATAAATACAGACCCTACACACATACAGACACTACACACATACAGACACTACATACAGACACTACACACATACAGACACTACACACATACAGACACTACACACATACAGACACTACACACACACAGACACTACATAAATACAGACCCTACACACATACAGACACTACACACATACAGACACTACATACAGACACTACACACATACAGACACTACACACATACAGACACTACACACATACAGACACTACACACATACAGACACTACACACATACAGACACTATACACATACAGACA